GATGAAGAGAACAAATTATTTTGGTAGAAAAAGTTGATCTTCATTAGATTTTTAGGTTTGCCATCAAAATAAAAGAATTGTTTTTCTTCGATTCATTAAAACACATTCATACTGTATCATACAAATACAAATATGTTATATGCATAAAGATACAAATGTTTTACATGATTAATGAAGAGCATTTTATACAATGTTCCCGTAGTATGAGTGTAGGTTGTTTTGATTGGAATTTTAAGATACTCTGACTTATTGTTGAATGGTAAAGTGCAATTTTTGTTGAATTATTATTCACTAAAAGAAATTTCCAATTTTTTCGCAATTAGTGCTTAATTTCTATCCAAAATTCACTTAACATCATAGAAACATTTCAATGAAATATCTTCACTGTAACGTTTGATGTGTCGTCGTCACGTAAAATTTGAGCACATGAGATAACAATAAAAAAGAACGCAGAGCAAAAAATAATCAAACAATTTCCAAAAAATAAATAAGTAAGCAACGAAGTAATTTACAGACAATGTACATGGAATTGCTGCAGGATTGTGGTCAATCCTCAAAGTTTTGGGGCAACTTCCGAATCGTGAATTAGAACCGGAACGTTACGCTGCAGCTTCGGCAATTTCAGTGAGTGTCTCAAGGGCAGGCATGAACTTCATATGTCTTTTTGTTGGGCGTGCACTGATCCTGGATGGCCTTTGAGTGGTTTTCTCCTCCTGAAATACCTGTTCGAATAAGATCAGAGTAAATGAAGTGTTTTCAGCGAGATTACTGGATAAATATTAAAGAACAGAATACGCAAACCAAATGAAAAGCATCAAAAATCTACATAATTATTCACTAAAATAACAATGAGCTGATAACAATTGATGAAGTAATTACGTTATAATTTTATACGCAAAAACAATCTGAAAATGAAGTTAATTGCTTTAATAAGCCGAACGGAATGTACCTCAGGTTGGACGTAAACATCGGGAATGAGTTGATCATTCAAACGAACCAATCGCACTGAACCACATGTTTCGGTCACTTCCTATAAATTATCAATTTTCACAATTGCCTGCTAACCAGATTAATTATGCTTTGTTATCGCTGGCGATTGAACACAAACACCATTGCACACTCATTGCCTCATATTAACTCAGTATTGATAAACTTTCTTGGAGGTCGGTCTTATACTTTGATAAAATGAAACAGTACAATCACTGATTTATGTGTCAACATATCGCTTTGTGCGTTTTAGTAATTCAAACATCAGAATGTAAACAGTTGCTCGACGATCGTAGATCTATTTGAGTGTAATATAAATCAAAACCGAGTAAAGAGAGTGAGTGACTCATTAAGTGCGTTTGAATTTCACTCAAATCAAATCAAATGGTCACCTGTTCGAAGGCGATCAGTTGTCTCCAGAAACCGAGATTCGGTCTGACCAAAGGCCGTCTTGAAGCCATATGGAAGTAGGCATCACGAAGTGACATATTATGGTATTTGACAAGGAACGCAAGACAGATGGCCGCAGATCGTGACACACCGGCCACACAATGCACTAGGACATTGGCACCTTGTGAGATGGCTTCTTCAATCTGAACGCAAAAATTAAACGATAGATTGCTAAATAAAATTTCACAAATTTTTGTTCCATAAGAGGGAATCTTCTGATCTTCGTTCCATTGGAATGTTCCCTTTTTTTTCAAAGGAATCTTCAATCCACTGTAATTTGCGTTCTTTTTTTTCAAGTTGACGTGCAAATACGTATCAAATTTCAAATGTTCATCTTTAAAAGTGTATTAGCTGATAAGAATGACATGCTTCTTTAGTTTTTATCAATTGATAGAGCATGGGCTTCTGAATTTGTTGACAATTGATAAGGGCAATAAACCACTTTGAATTGAGAACACTCTCTGGGTAAACACAACGATCACTCACTTGATCACACAGTAAGTGCAAATGCGGGTAGAGGTCAGCTTTTGTGGTGTCCTCCAGCCAGAGCTTTACACGAGCGATTGAGCCAAGGCTACGAGCATTAGGCACCTTAAAATTACATTTATTATCATTATTATTTCACCGGATAGGTTCGATAAAACTATAAACCTAATCAAAAAGATGACGAAATACAACGATTTTCATTTGGAAGTGCCTTTCTAGATGAGAAAATATACGCAGTTTTATCCAAAACTGAACTACAAAGGTGGCAGCTAGGATGGGTAATATTCTCGATAAAGCTTACTTCAGTGGTGGCGTTAACGATCAACGCGATGTTGTATTTCTGCATATTTTCCGCAGTCAAAGCTGTCACACCACAGATATACAAGCCGCTGACCACTTCGGTCATTTGGGCATTCTTCTCATTGACACAGAACAACATTTTGACGACCGACTTTCAATTCAATTTCAGATTTTTTGCTTTCCTGAATCATTAACATCTCATCATTAACTCTTTCGTTTGCAATTACCAGCGGAAGTATCAGCGAGCGATAGGTTCGACAAACAACAACAACGCAAATTTGTTCCGGTGACAGATGTGTAACGAGACTGGTTGACTGATACTGATCGTGAGATAATTCAAACGGCCACTTCACTTGTTGAGTGGCAAAAAAAACTGGATTATTGAGGAAACCAATTCGTACACAGGCAAAAACAGGAATTGCTTGGTGAAAAGTGAATGAAACTCAAATTTTTAGCATCAACAATGAGAACTGAATCAAAAAAAGACCGAAAGCAATAATGCATTATGGTCGAATTTTCGGTTGTTTCAGCCGCACTTCACGAAAATGTTTACGATTCAGCTGCGATTATGCATTTTGATTGGAGGAACGAATTGTTTGCAACAAATTGATCGTTAAGAATGAGAATGCTACCATGAGAATAAATCATTCAAGTTATTAGAGATTTAAAATCGCGCACAGCACAGTCGACGGAAGCAATCGAAATTTGATGGCATTGCATTCAACTGATAAATAAAATTGCTAAAAGTTCCAAATATATCGCTAAATCAATGTGCTACAAATCGAAATCGCCCCACTCTCACAAGCCTTAGTGAGAATCGCTTGTAAAACAGCAAACAAAAAAGTGAAATTCTATGATTTGTATTCCAGCAGTTAAATGTAGTTAATCAACCTGGTAATTGCAAGCTCAACTGTAAACCTAATGCAAAATTTGTATCTTTAGTAAGATCATCGCATTTTTGTCCCACTCAATTAACTGATCAAAGATA